GTTAAGGGTTAAGGGTTAAGGGTTTTTAGGGTTTAGGGTTGCTTAGTCATGTCGTGGTAAGCAATGTTCAATTTTGTCAGGTCCTGGGTGTTGAGGGTTTAGGGCTGGGACGGTTTCGCGTTTAGGGTTTAGGGTTCGGTTCAATGCAAAAGTTTCCAGTTCGTAGCTAGAAAACTTTCAGCATAGATTCAACGTAAGCCCATGGAGCCACCGTTTCAAGACATCCCCACAATACATTCAGATGCGTTCAACAACAAAGACCTCACAGATTTCAGCACAGGCCTATGGGGCTCCGTTTCCAGTATTAGCCAACAGAATGACAGAACGAAGCATCACACCCCTAAACCCTACACATCTTCCCCTGGGCTGTCTACAAACAAGACACAACTCTTCAGGAGACTGTAGATAGATTCGTTTCGGGCAGGTTCTGGGGGCTAAGCCTTGAGCACCAGAGCTACTACTTGCTGAAGAACCCCCATAAGAAAAAATATTGCTCCTAACACGGAAATATAGGAAAACAAAAAAAAACATGCTTCTGATACGGGTCATATAGGGATTATGTCTTTTGTTTTTTGGGCGGGCTCTTAAGCAAATGGTAGAGGGAGGGTTGTAGGGATCTTGTCCGCCCACAACGCATGCCCCAAAATGCCCGAACACTGCGGGTTTCGGGTTTCGGGTTTAGGGTTTCGGGTTTCGGGTTTCGGGTTTGGGGTGTAGGGTCAAAGTCGATGCTGCATGACGTGAACCAAAAGCAAACAGGCCTTCCACTTGCGTCACGCTTATCCTGGAAAGCGTGCGGCACGTGGGGTTGTCAATAAGCTTTGGGGGCATTCTTTTGTTGGGGGGGGGAGTGCACCTTCTCTGGAAGGGCAAACATCAGTGCACTTGAAACCCTAAACCCTAAACCCTAAACCCTAAACCCTGAACCCTAAACCCTAAACCCTAAACCCTAAACCTGAGGGCGCTTGTCAACGATTGCAGCGCAAAACGCCGAAACCCTAGATGGCCCGCAGCCCTTTTGGGCTGAGCACTTCTTCCAGGGTTTAGGGTTTAGGGCTAGGGTTTAGGGTTTAGGGTTTAGGGTTTAGGGTTTAGGGTTTAGGGTTTAGGGTTTAGGGTTTAGGGTTTCGGGTTTAGGGTTTAGGGTTTAGGGTTTAGGGTTTAGGGTTTAGGGTGTAGGGTTTAGGGTTTAGGGATTAGGGTTTAGGGTTTAGGGCTTCGAATTTAGGGTTTAGGGTTTAGGGTTTCGGGTTTGGGCCTCCTCCTGGCTGCTCAAATGTTCGTAGTAGCGCCCTGGGTACAGCTTTCTGGAGTCTGGAGGTCAGGTTTAGGGTTTAGGGCTTAGGGCTTCGGGTTCAATGTTTAGGGATCCTAAACCCTAAACCCTAAACCCTATTGGGGTTTGAGGGCTTGGGGCTTGCGACCTGTAGCCAAGGCTTCACCTTAGTTGCTGAGTTCAGAAGGCCCAAGAAAAGTGTACACATCCAGTTCTATAGGGGATTCTAGCATCCCAAAAAGTGTGTAAAGTGTGCTCACTCAGCTGCTGAGTCACCTTTTTTCTTCTGCACCAACTTGCCGAAACAATGGACTTCGGCGACGTTGTCACGAAGTAAGCCCGACAAGGGAACAGGTGGCACCTACTACGATGAAGAAGGTTCAAAACTCACCCCAAAGAGTTACCCTAAACCCTAAACCCTAAACCCTGAGCCCTAAGCCCTAAACCCCAAACCCCAAGCTTGCCAGCTTTGCGGAGGACCCCTTTTTGGGGCTCCGAAAGCTCTGCGTGCTCGGCAGCTCCGGTGAGACTCAACAAAAAAACCTTCTTGCAACTGTACTGCGCAGCTGCCAAAAATTGAGGCCAACAAAAAACCCCATACCCTATAAGCCCTTTTTTGCAACTGGACTCCTTGCTGCCACCCTATAAGCCCTAAACCGTAAACTCTAGGCCCCAAACCCTAAACCCTAACTTCAGCCATAATCTGGCACCTATGCATGTTAAGGTATAAGGAATACTGGGCTCTCAGGGTACATTACCGGGAAGTCCAAAACCCTAAAGGCCTCTGGAGGTGGTTTCATAGGACAGTGAGCAACAAACAAACAGCTCTTGACTGACGAGGTCCCATGAACAGTATACACCCTATAAGCCCTATAAGCTCTAAACCCTAAACCCTACCCCCTAAACCCTAAACCCTAAACCCTAAACTCCGCAAAGGAAGAAAAGAACTGACAATTGGGCAGTGAAGGAAATCGCGGCTCGCCGACCTCGTGCGAGCAGGGATTTTGGGATGTAGGGCTGTTAAGGGTATAGGGTACAGGGCTTAGGGTTTAGGGCTAGGGGTATAGGCTTGGGTTGAATAGGGGCTTTGGGGTTTAGGTTTTGCTTGGGGGTTCCTTCTGCCATAAAAGAGAAGTCCCCTTGAAGGCCTTAAAAACCCAGCCGCATAAAAGAAGCTGCCGTGCGAAGACTGGGATGCCCTGAAAGGTGATCTATGGGAGGACGTACGAATGCTCAGATGCTCTCTCTTCTCAGCCTCCTTCGGAGAGTTCTGTTTTGCATTTCACCACTTGTCCCATGCCAGCTGCTATAAACCCTAAACCCTAAACCCTAAACCCTTTTGAGCAACGGACTTTGGAGGCTGCCGGCAAACATGCCCTGAACCCTAAACCCTACACCCTAAACCCTAAACCCTAAACCCTAAACCCTAAACCCAAAACCCAAAACCCTAAACCCTAAACCCTAAACCCAAACCCTGAAGAAGACTCCAAAAGATGCGAAATGCGAACAAAATTGGTAGGGCTTCAGGTTTAGAATGTAGGGTAGCTCTACAGTTTGAAACAACCCTAACGCCTAAACCCTAAACCCTTAGTTCAAGGGAGTAGCTCGTACCCTTATGTTGCGCCCCCTAAAGATTCCCTTAAGCATGCTCCTCATGTGGCCCTCGTACTACTTAAGGATTTTTGAACAGGATCCCCAAAACCCCGGGGTACGAAAAACCCCTATAGATGAGTAACTACGACACCTTGGGATGCTCCATGATGCTCCCCCTTTTTTCTAACAGTCCTGAATCGGGATTCTGGTACCCCCCTACTATAATCCCTATTAAGGACTGTTAGTATAAGGGGGCACAGCTGAACCCTGAACCCTGAACCCTGAACCCTGAACCCAGAACCCAGAACCCAGAACCCTGAACCCTGAACCCTAAACCCTAAACCCTAAACCCTAAACCCTAAACCCTAAACCCTAAACCCTAAACCCTAAACCTAGAAATTGTGACACCCCTTTCACCTCTGCCCAGCCTCCTTCGGAACTCCATCCCCAGCCTCGGCTGATGAGACATGTCCAGCAGCTCCACTCAACTTTAGCCCTAAACCCTAAACCCTAAACCCTAAACCCAAACCCTACACCCGAAACCCTAAACCCCTGAGCCCCTAAGCCCCCTGTACCCTAAACCCTAAACCCTAAACCCTAAACCCTGAGCCCTGAGCCCTGAGCCCTGAGCCCAAGCGCAGGCCTGGTGAATATTTAGGCAAGCACGGGGCCGATCTATAGTACTGGACGCCCAAGAGTAAGCAAGGAATGACAAGGGGACCCCTTTTTGGCGTAGGTTTAGCGTTTAGGGTTCAGAACCCTTACTAAACCCTAAACCGTAAACCGTAAACCGTAAGCCCTAAGCCCTAAGCCCTAAGCCCTAAGCCCTAAACCCTAAACCCCTTGTCAGAAAACCTAAACTCCAAAAAGGAAAGCAGGGCCTAGTCTGGGTCCTAAATTAATGTAAGTGTCTCCCCCGCCCCCCTCCTTTATAGAACATGCCGGGGGCCAACGCAAAGCGGGCGCCGCCATTCCACTCGCAACAATCATGAGAAACCTGTCTTACAGAGACCACCACCCGAATCCGCAGTGCCAAATGTGGTCTCAGGGTGGCTTGGGCTAATAGGGGCTGGGTTTAGCTGAACTTGCTGGGAATGTGTGCACCTAAACCCAGCTATGTCGACCACTGGCCAGCCTTTTGATTCAATGGGCGCTTAGGGTTTAGGGTTTAGTTTAGGGTTTAGGGTTCAGGGTGAGTGTCCATGTTTGGTGTTGGTTCTGGTGGTTCAGGATAAGACAAGCCCGATATGGAGCAGAAAGTGCTCAGGATATTTGCACTCTTAAACCCTAACCCCTACCCCTAACCCCTAACCCCTAAACCCTAAACCCTAAACCCTGAACCCTAAAGCCACTTAGGGCTGAGAGTTCAGAGCCCCCAGCGGCCATCTCCACACCCACATCTTATACCACGGGCTTCCTACAGCACGGCTTTCAAGCTGGGGTGGCTTCCTCAGCTCTTAGGGTTTAGGGTTTAGGGTTTAGGGGAGTTATGGGGCCCCACTCATTGGGATATCAATGCAGCTGATTGAGGTCCGATCTTACGGCTTCCCGATAGACAGACACGTGGGCAGTTCTCTGAAATCCTACCAATTGCTTCAGAACCCCCCCCCCAAAAACAAAAAACAGATTCTTACTTGTAAGGGGAATGCAAGGATTAGTATTTGCATATTTTTGGGGTTTTTAAGCAAATAGTAGAATCAGGGTCCCGTATTGGGTCCTATGTATAGTACGGCACCCTCATAATGAGGACCCTAAACCCTAAACCCTAAACCCTAAACCCTAAACCCTAAACCCTAAACCCTAAACCTCCTGAAGGCACCCTCGGCCTGCTTTTCTGGTGAGGCGTCTGTGCGCAGGGCAGCATGCCCGAGATCTGACTGAACTAAACCCTAAACCCTAAACCCTAAACCGTAAACCCTAAACCCTAAATAGCCTTGATTAGAGGGGGAACCTAGGGGGGGTAGTATAGAGGGGGGGTAGTAGGGGGAAATCCATGACCTCAGGTCTCAAACTGCTCTGCGTGGGCCCCATGCGCGGAATGCGCAGTGACGTAGTGTACAGGTGAGCATTTACCGAAAATCAAAACCAATACTGGAAAAGTAATTGGAGCGCCGCCTGAGTCTCCACAATCTCACATGCCGCAGAAGTGACCCATGTTCCCCTCGAGAGCGGACAAGAGCGTGTAGAACTCGTCAAAGTCGAGGCCACCAACTCCATCCAAATCATGCTCCGCCAGCATCTTGGGGATATCGCGTGGCGAGACTCTGATGCCGTTGAACAGGAAGCAGGTGAAGAGCTCACGCTGGTCAATCTTGCCGTTCCCGTCGCGATCGAACATCTTGAAGACTTGCTCTGCGTTGTTTCTGTGGTCAAACCTGGGGCCGGAGTATCTCAGAGGACTTGAACCCTAAACCCTCCTGAGCCCTAAATCCTGAAACGCAACGGGAAGAAGGGCCCACTCTGCATCCTAGAGGCTCCTCGGCAGGGTCGAAGTCATCGGGGACATCGTCATCGGCCACTTCCGACTCATACTCCTCCACGCAAACCTGCGTTTGGAGTTCAAGTTTTGACAGCTGGCTTGCCGCTATAACTTGAAAAATTAAGTCATCATAAAGGGGATTGTGGCAGACTAAACTGGACGTTAAAGCCAGGCCAGAAACACTCTCCACATCTGCATCTTTCTGGAAGTTGTAGTTCCTGCCATCGTCCGGGTCGGGCGTGAAGTCTGAATCCGTAAGGCCAATGATGCAGTACTGCCCCAAGAAGTTGAAGTCCGAGTTGCAGATGTAGTCATAAGGGACGTAGGCGTAGCCGCGATCACCCCAAGAGGTTCCCCAGCTGTTCCTGATGATGAAGCATTTCTGGCGGTCGTTGTAGCCCACGTTGAGCATCGCGTGGAGGCCGTGCTCAGAAGATTTGGGGTCCGAGGGGTCTGGAGTCGTGATGCCACCTGGGTAGCCCACTTTAGGATTTAGGGTTTAATTAGGGTTTAGGGTTTAGGGTTTAGGGTTTAGGGTTTAGGCATTAGGGTTTAGGGTTCAGGGCTTAGGGCCTGGGTAGCCCAGCAAAAGCCGCAATGCCACAATATGCAAGGGGGCACTCAAACAGAGACTCTGCAACCCGCATGAACCTCTATAGAAGGTAACAAGACCTGTACGTTCTCATAAAGCCCTAGTAAGACCTGTGAGACCTGTACGTTCTCATGAAGAATATGCCAGAGGCCCACCTACATCCCCCACACCCTATACGTGCCGAGCCGCCTCCCCGGGAGGGCTTGAAGAACTGCGAGGTCAACTTCAGGCCGAAGACGATGGGATGTCCCTCGGCGAGGCACTGTCGCATGGCGTCCAGGTCCACAGGCACCTCCCTGGACCTACGGCTTAGGGCTCTGGGAACGGGAGCAAAAGTTTTTGCTTAGCTTTCAAGACTATGCCCAAACCCCCCCCCCCCCCCCCAAAAAAAAAAAAGAAAAAAAAAGAAAAGACAAAAACAAGAAACACAAATACCACTAGGAGGTCCGAGGGGCTCCGCCACCTTAAAGCGCACCGCCTCGTTGAAACAGAAGTCGTGGGGCTTGTCATTGACCTGACTTGCGCTTGAAACCTTTGCCCCTTGTGGACGGTGACGCTTTTTAAACATGCGGATTTTTAAATATCTAAACAGATATTTTATACTACCTCCGTTGGGGTTTCGAGCGGGCCGCCAAACAAGCGGACCCCCTCCCCACCCCCTCCCCACCCCCTCCCCACCCCCTCCTCCCCACCCCCTCCTCCCCACCCCCTCCTCCCCACCCCCTCCCCACCCCCCCCCTCCCCCCCCCCCTCCCCACCCCCTCCCCACCCCCTCCCCGCCCCCTCCCCACCCCCCCCCCCCCGCCTCCACCCCCACCCACCCCCTCCTCCTCTGCCCCTCCGCCCCGCCACCCCTCCACCCCTCCACCCCCTCTCCACCCACCCCTCTCCACCCCTCCCCACCAGCCCTCCACCACCCCTCCACCCCTCCTCCCCTCCGCCCCTACCAGCGCTTGTAGGGCTTCAGGTTTTTTGTTTGGGGGCTGCTAGGGGTCGGGGGGTGGGGGGGGGTGGGGTTTTAAATTAAACAGCACTTTTATACTACCTCCGTGGCTCCGGGGGCCTGGCCGCCCTCCACTCATTTAAAAAACTACACCGTAATCTTATGTTGAGGTTAGGGTTTAGGGTTTAGGGTTTAGGGCTCAGGGCTTACTTCGGGGGACTTAGGGACTTGCGCTTGAAACCCCTACTCCGCCATCTTAAAGCCCTCTGAAACATATTCCTGAATATGATCCGCTCAAACCCCAGAAGGGAAGATACAACATGTCCCAAGGGCCTACACCCTACACTCCCCTTAGAACCTTGATAAACAATCTCTTTCATCTCCTCTTAGAATTTTATATGAACAAAAATGAAAAATAACTCCCCAGGGGATATAGACCCAGTAATACATTCATGTTATGGACCAAGGGTCTGGGTTGTGGGGGTGTGGGCGCAGGATTTAGAAAAAAAGTGGGAAAATGCAAAAAACATCCTACAGCGCTGCCCAGCAACGATCCGCTCGTTGAACGGCCAGTTCCTCTCCTTGCTAGGTTTGGCTTTCAGGGGTTTGGTTGCTTTCGGGTGTAGGCCGTTTTCTTAGCTCTTCATGAAAACTTGACGCGCAGTTTTCTGGTCCTGTCCCCTCTGCCTGGAACCAACCCTAAACCCCAAAACCCAAAACCCTACGCCCTAAACCCTAGCCCTAAACCCTAAACCCCTGGATCTCAAAGCATGACCAAGAACAGTCTAGCTTCAAGGCAGGCCCCTTTCACCTCCAGGGCACTGATGGCTCCACCCAAGGTCATGCCCTCGTCTTTGGGCTTCACCGACGTATCCTCGTGGAACGTCAGCCTGGGTTGTGCTTTACGTAAACCCTTTGAAAACTTTTTGTGAGTAGGTTCCCGTGGAAGGGAAGAAGCCCTAAACCCTAAACCCTAAACCCTAAACCCTAAACCCTAAACCCTAAGGGGTAAACTAAAATTATCCCAAAGCCTAACCCAGCGGCTGGTCCTTCTTGCGCCCCACGTAGTAGATGAAGAGCCGGGAGATGTCGGCAATGCCTAAACCCGGGGGTAAGCTAGGCGTAACAAGGGTGCCCTTTTTGGGTTTAAGGGGATTATAAGGGACCCCCCAACCCCAAAAAAAGGAAACAAGGGCTTTCAGTTCTTTAGGGGATTCTAGCATCCCAAGAAGTGCAAAGTGTGCTCACTCATCTACTAAGAGGCTGTCTCCGGTTTGCATTGCCTGACGCTTGTTGATGTACTCGTAGGCACCAGCCACAGCGTTCGCACAGCAGCTGTTGGTCTGAGCCTGGTCCTCCACATGTGTCATGTATCGGCGCAGGTCGACCTTATCCGGGATGTCATCACTGCTCGGGCGGTAAGCGGAGACCTTCATGGGAGTCACTTGGTGAGGAACCATCCCGAAGGGAGCGAACGTCTTGCCGTCAACCACACACTTCTTGGCGCCCTGGCGGGCTGCATCGATCAAAAAGGGGATCATCTTGCCCATGACATCCTCCGGCCCCACCTGGACTTCTTTCAATCCAAAGAGGACACCTGCCCTGGAAAGCCAATATCCTTTAAACCCCATAGGAAATTTTCTCGTGTTGCCCCCCAGCGTAGAACAACACCTGCCTCGTACGACGGACCGGCGCCCATTGCTAGAGGTTGCTGTGGGGGGGGCTGACGAACTCAGGAAATCCGACAGGCTTCGAGCCAAAACTTCTCCGCGCTTAGCTAGTAATTGGTTCTTATTGCCTTGGGATGCTTAAAACAAACCCTAAACCCTAAACCCTAAACCCTAAATCCAGCCAGGGTTTCTGCGGCCTTGGCCGTGAAGCTCCGAAGGTTGACGGACAAATCGGAGACCAGAACGGCTGAAGTTTAGGGTTTAGGGTTATAGGGTATAGGGTATAGGGTTTAGGGTTTATGGCAACCAAGCGACGAAGTGTAAGAACAAGAGAAAACATGCAAAATCGGAAGCCAGAAGCGGAACAATCGGAAGGCAGGCCTGTATCCAGAACAGGAAAATCCCAAACCAGGAGACGTCCGGCTCGGAGCCCCCCCCCCCCCCACCTAAACCCTAAACCCTAAACCCTAAACCCTAAACCCTAAACCCTAAACCCTAAACCCTAAGAAAAAAAACCTAAACCCTTTTTGCAACTGGCTTGCCTAAACCCTAAACCCTAAACCCTCAACCCTAAAACCTAAACCCTAAACCCTAAACCCAAACCCTAAACCCTAAACCCTAAACCCACCTCAGTTTCCGATTCTCCCTGGCTCCTGATGCGCCCTGGTTTCTGATGCGGCCAGTTTCTGACTTGATTCCGTAGGCGCTCTCCAGTTTCGCAGTTACTTCGGGCGGGAATAATATTAAGAATCTAAATTTCTGTTCCTTATTGAGTTTGAGTACCCTTAAACATGTATAATGTTACCCTAGGTCTAGGTTTTTGGGGTTTAGGGTTTAGGGTTTAGGGCTTCGGGTTGAGGCTTACAGGTGTTAGAGTAGAAGGTCTACGGAGGGCATAGGGAGTTTACATGTCGCACTTCTGACCTTTTTTTTTTAGTAATGGACTGATGTCTGATATCTTTTATTCGCACCCCAAAGGGACAAATGCACTAACCGATAAGAGTAATATGAACCCTAAGCCAATATATCCTACAAACCTAGCTGAATTTATTCTGAGTTCTTGGACGGCCCAAGGCCCCAAACGGCCCTCAACCCGAAGCAGCCCTAAGCGCTAAACCCTAAACCCTAAACCCTAAACCCTAAACCCTAAACCCTAAACCCTAAACCCTCGCTCCCCTCCGCATCGCCCCCTTCTTTCTGGAAGCCAACCATCGCCCTAAAATCGGGCACGCGAAGTCTGCATCTGCAAGGCCAGGCCATGATGCAGTAGTGGGCCAAGACATACGACTCGTGGGGGGCGCAGATGGAGTTCCCTAAACCCTAAACCCTAAACCCTAAACCCTAAACCCTGAACCCTGAACCCTAAACCCTAAACCCTAAACCCTAATAATAGGACCTAATCGTAACCCCACTCATGGTCACCCCCAGAGGCGACGCAGCTGTGCTGACTTATGGTGAAACGGATTCTGGTAGCTCGCAAATGAGCATTGCTTGGACCCAGATCTTCCAAAACCCCTTTTAGGGCCTAGAGGTTTGGGTTTAGGGTTTGAGGAATATACCCTAATTCAGAATAATGATCTTCGTATAAACTAAGGGCCTAACCCTAAACCCTAAACCCTAAACCCTAAAGCGTAAACCCTAAACCCTAAACCCTAAACCCTAGACCCTAAACCCTAAACTAAGGGTATACTCCTTCGTTGAGGGGTTTTGGAAGATGTGGGGAGAAGCCATGCTCGGAAAACCGGAGGGAGCTAGCGAATGGCAAAACCAATACTGGAAAAGCAATAATCGAGACCCAGGAGTAGCCCAGGAATAAAAAGGCTGCCAATTTTTTGGGTTTTGAGAGGATTATAGGGGGAACCCCTACTTTAAAGAAAAGGAGATGAGGGCCTACTCCGGGTCCTAGTAATTGGAGAGCCGCCTGAGTCTCCACAATCTCACATGCCGCAGAAGTGACCCATGTTCCCCTCGAGAGCGGACAAGAGCGTGTAGAACTCGTCAAAGTCGAGGCCACCAACTCCATCCAAATCATGCTCCGCCAGCATCTTGGGGATATCGCGTGGCGAGACTCTGATGCCGTTGAACAGGAAGCAGGTGAAGAGCTCACGCTGGTCAATCTTGCCGTTCCCGTCGCGATCGAACATCTTGAAGACTTGCTCTGCGTTGTTTCTGTGGTCAAACCTAGGGGCCGGAGTATCTCAGAGGACTTGAACCCTAAACCCTCCTGAGCCTTAAATCCTGAAACGAAACGGGAAGAAGGGCCCACTCTGCGTCCTAGAAGCTCTTCGGCGGGGTCGAAGTCATCGGGGACATCGTCATCGGCCACCTCCGACTCATACTCCTCCACGCAAACCTGCGTTTGGAGTTCAAGTTTTGACAGCTGGCTTGCCGCTATAACTTGAAAAATAAGTCATAATACAGGGGATTGTGGCAGACTAAACTGGACGTTAAAGCCAGGCCAGAAACGCTCTCCACATCTGCATCTTTCTGGAAGTTGTAGTTCCTGCCATCGTCCGGGTCGGGCGTGAAGTCTGAATCCGTAAGGCCAATGATGCAGTACTGCCCCAAGAAGTTGAAGTCCGAGTTGCAGATGTAGTCATAAGGGACGTAGGCGTAGCCGCGATCACCCCAAGAGGTTCCCCAGCTGTTCCTGATGATGAAGCATTTCTGGCGGTCATTGTAGCCCACGTTGAGCATCGCGTGGAGGCCGTGCTCAGAAGATTTGGGATCCGAGGGGTCTGGTGTTGTGATGCCACCTGGGTAGCCCAGCAAAAGCCACAATGCCACAATCATGAAAGGGTGCACCCAAACAGAGACTCTGCACAGACCTGACAACGTGAATGAGCCCCACAGAAGGTAACAAGACCTGTACGATCTCAAAAAGCCCTAGCTCAAACCTAGAAGAGCACAAGAAACCACATGTTCAACATATGCCAAAGGCCCACCTACATCCCCCAAACCCCAAACCCCAAACCCTAAACCCATATGAGTGCCGAGCCGCCTCCCCGGGAGGGCTTGAAGAACTGCGAGGTCAACTTCAGGCCGAAGACGATGGGATGTCCTTCGGCGAGGCACTGTCGCATGGCGTCCAGGTCCACAGGCACCTCCCTGGACCTAAGGCTTTGGGAACAGATACAAAAAGGTTCTGGCTTAGGTCCCAACCCCAATTCCCCCACCCCTCTAAACCCTAAACCCTAAACCCTAGACCCTAAACCCTAAACCCTAAACCATAACCCCCCCCCCCTCAAAAAAGCTAAAACATCCTAGGAGGTCCGAGGGGCTCCGCGACCTTAAAGCGCACCGCCTCGTTGAAACAGAAGTCGTGGGGCTTGTCATTGACCTGACTTGCGCTTAAAAACCTGGTTTAGGGTTTAGGGTTGAGGGTTAGGACCTTTACCCCCTTCTTTAATCTTAAGCTGGGGAAGACTTAAGGACTCAGGGTCTAAGGTTTCGCGGGGGGGGGGGGGGGGGGGGGGGCGAAGGATTTAGAGAAAAAAAGAGGGAACTTCAAACAAAAAAGCATCCTACACCCTAAACCCTAAACCCTAAACCCTAATTCTAGACCCTACAGCGCTGCCCAGCGACAATTCGCTCGTTGAAGGGCCAGTTTCTCTCCTGGCTAGGTTCGGCTGTCAGGGTTTTTTTGGTGGTTTCGGGTGTACGCCCTTTTGCTTGGCTCTTCTTGAAAACTTGAAACTTCTTTTTGAACCAACAAACGACTCAAAAACATGATCAAGAACAGCCTAGTTTCAAGGCAGGCCCCTTTCACCTCCAGTGCACTGATGGCTCCTCCCAAGGTCATGCCCTCGTCCTTTGGCTTCACTGACGTGTCCTCGTGGAACGTCAGCTGGTCCTTCTTGCGCCCTACGTAGTAGATGAAGAGCCGGGAGATGTCGGCAATGCTGTCTCCGGTTTGCATTGCCTGACGCTTGTTGATGTACTCGTATGCACCAGCCACAGCGTTCGCGCAGCAGCTGTTGGTCTGAGCCTGGTCCTCCACATGTGTCATGTATCGGCGCAGGTCGACCTTGTCCGGGATGTCATCACTGCTCGGGCGGTAAGCGGAGACCTTCATGGGAGTCACTTGGTGAGGAACCATCCCGAAGGGAGCGAACGTCTTGCCGTCAACCACACACTTCTTGGCGCCCTGGCGGGCTGCATCGATCAAAAAGGGGATCATCTTGCCCATGACATCCTCCGGCCCCACCTGGAATTCTTTCAATCCAAAGCGGACGCCTACCCTGAAAAGACAAGATCCTTTAGACCCGATAGGAAAATTCTCGTGTCGCCCCCCCACGTAGAACAACACCTGCCTCGTACGACGGACCGGCGCCCATTGCTAGAGGTTGCTGTGGGGGGGCTGACGAACTCAGGAAATCCGACAGGCTTCGAGCCAAAACTTCTCCGCGCTTGGGGTTTCTACAATCCTCACCAATAAACCTGTTTAGGGCTTAGGGTTGAAGTCTGCCAGAAATACCGACACCAGCATTTACAGAGCCGCGGGCAAGCACGCATGACTTGAGGACGACTACACGTTCATGCCAGCCTTTAGGCACAATATCCACCGTGAGAGAAACCATAAAACCACAATGCAAAAGCAAAGAAACAGGCTTAGCTAACAGCTAACAGCATCTAAACCCAAAAGCCTAACCCTGCAAAGTAACTCGCTGCCGTGATCGTATACGTGACCGGCTAATAATTTTTATCTGGGGTTCCGAAAGCAAAAAACCCTAAACCCGAAACCCTAAACCCTAAAGTTGCTCTGCCGGGTGGCCCCAAAGCAGAGGGAGACATGAAGCGCTTGCACTGGCCCCAGCTGCTCATGTCAATGTACCTCGGGTCAACCCGATATAGGGGGTTTAGGGTTTGGGGTTTAGGGTTTAATGTCCTATCCTGATTAGTCTGGACCCCTCCAATAATGAAAAGTTTTCCAAGAATTATTCAGGAGACAAAAATTCGATTGCCCCCCCACAATAAAGTAAAGTTTTTCGGGCATGGGTTTCGGAAGAGAGAAAAAAAGAGAACAAGA